TTTTTTTGATATTCAGCTGCATGAGCTGCTTGTAAATTCTGGAGACTAATCCTTTGTCAGCTGCTTCATTTGCAAATATTTTCTCCCATTCTGAGGGCTGTCTTTTCTTCTTGTTTATGGTTTCCTTTTAAAGCTATATTTTAAAAGGTCCAACTACTAATACAATTTTTTAAAGGGGGATACTATTACTTCCTACTCCAAGCACCCTAAATATCTCTTTAATTTCACAAATGACTAGGTTAAATTCAGTTGCTTCTTGCTTAAATGGAGATATTTTTCAAATGTGTTATACCAACTAGCAACTGATACCAAATTATCTATGAAGGAAAAATTGGGCAAACCATTACACTGAATTAGCTTGGTGGAAAAACCAAAGATTCCTGGTTGGACAGTGAGTGGATCTTTTCCTCCAATCTCAAAACAATTGGTTCTAAGGGCATAATCCAATTATCCCTTCCAAATCTCTTCCAAATCAAGACCTATGTTGAAATATTCATTTTTCCTAAATTTCAAAACATAACAAATAAAATATTTACTCTTTATCATGACAGTAACAGCTATATCAACATTGTTATAATCTTGATGTGCTGTGTCAATCATTTTAGCTTTGAGGTCCCTTTCCAATGATCTCATTCACAGAATCTGTATTTTAAAGTCAATTATTCAAGGAATGCTTTATTTTTCTTTTGGTTGGCTTCTTTTTCAATAGCGTCTCTTGAATGTATAAACACAAGGGCAAAGAAATGAAAAGGCATAATCATATTCCTTAAATGATTGGTTATTTCCTCTTCACTATTTAACCAGAAGCTATCTAGGTATTCTGGTATTCTTACCTATTTTAAAGTAATATTACATAAAAATCCAGGTAGTAGAAATCATATTTTGATATGTTACACACTCATTCTCATTCATCTTCAGTTCCATTTTCTCTTCCCACTCTCTTTGGAATTTCCCACTTCTGGCATATGCCCTACTCACAAAAGGCCAGGTCAATGGATTTCCATTTAAAAAGTAAAAGAAAAGTTTATTGCTTAGTAAGTTTGATAGTCCAAAATACAACCAAGAGATATAAATACACTCTGAAAAAATAAGTTCTAACATACTGTGCCACTTTAAGAAACTAAAAAATCAAACATATAAATATATGTAATATCTGATATTAAATTTTTTATATTAAAAGCATTTGCTTTGATAAGGAAGGAGGACAGAAAGGACAACATAGAGGAAAATAAAGAAGAAGACAAAGTAGCAGCTCAGACTGAAGGTTTATATAGCCCAGTCCCTGGAAAATAGTAAATGATCAATAAACATTTGTTGAATACATGCATGAATGAACAAGCCTGATTTCACTATCATTTCATTATCTATATCCACTTTAACTTACTAGCATCGCATCCATATTATGGCTTTTTATTGGCTCTTGAGCAGCAAAAAGCAAAGTCTGGGAATCCTTCAAATATCTAAGGGACATATTATGGTCAATTAACCAATTCTGGTTAGTAAATATAAGGAACAGAGAATGAATTAATATAATAAAAGGGTATGAGATCAAGGATAACACTGTTTAATTGAAAATAAAATAATTATGTAACAAACTAAATGGGAAAAGAATTTGAAAAAAGAATAGATGCATGTATAACTGAATCACTCTGCTGTACACCTGAAACTAACACAACATTATTAATCAACTATACTTCAATATAAAATAAAAAGTGTTCCAACAAACAAAAGTCCAGGACCAAATAGATTCACAGGCGAATTCTATCAAACGTTTAGAGAAGAGCTAACACCCGGCCTTCTGAAACTGTTCCAAAAAATTACAGAGGAACACTCCCAAGCTTTCTACGAGGCCACCATCATCACCCTGATATCAAAACCAGACAAAGATATCACAAAATAAGAAAATTACAGGCCAAAGCGCTGATGAACATGGACACAAAAATCCTCAACAGAATACTAGCAAACTGAACCCAACAACACATTAAAAGGATCATATGCCATGATCAAGTGGGATTTATCCCAGGGATGCAAGGATTCTTCAGTATATGCAAATCAAACAATGTGATACACCATATTAACAAACTGAAGAATAAAAACCATATGATCATCTCAATAGATGCAGAAAAAGCTTTTCACAAAATTCAACACTGATTTATGATAAAAACTCTCCAGAAAGTGGGCATAGAGGGAACCTACCTCAACATAATAAAAGCCATATACAACCAACCCACAGCAAACATCATTCTCAACAGTGAAAAACTGAAGCGTTTCCTCTAAGATCAGGAACAGGACAAGGATGTCCACTCTCACCACTATTATTCAACACAGTTTTGGAAGTCCTAGCCACAGCAATCACAGAAGAAAAAGAAATAAAAGGAATCCAAACTGGAAAAGAAGTAAAACTGTTGCTGTTTGCAGATGACATGATACTATACATAGAAAATGCTAAAGATGCCACCAGGAAACTGCTATAGCTAATCAATGAATTTGGTAAAGTTGCAGGTTACAAAATTAATGCACAGAAATCTCTTGCAATCCTAAACACTAACAATGAAAGATCAGAAAGAGAAATCAAGGAAACAATCCTATTTACCGTCACATCAAAAAGAATAAAATACCTAGGAATAAACCTACCTAAGGAGGCAAAAGACATGTACTCAGAAAACTATAAGATATTGATGAAAAAAATCAAAGATGACACAAACAGATGGAGAGATATAGCATGTTCTTGGATTGGAGGAATCAATATTGTGAAAATGACTGTACTGACCAAAGCAATCTACAGATTCAGTTCAATCCTTATCAAATTACCAATGGTATTTTTCACAGAATTAGAACAAAAAATTTCACAATTTGTATGGAAACACAAAAGACCCCAAATAGCCAAAGCAATCCTGAAAAAGAAAAATGGAGCTGGAAGAATCAGGCTCCCGGACTTCCGACTATACTACAAAGCTACAGTAATCAAGACAGTATGGTACAGGCACAAAAACAGAAATATAGATCAATGGAACAGGACAGAAAGCCCAGAGATAAACCCACATACCTGTGGTCAACTAATATATGACAAAGGAGGCAAGGATATACAATGGAGGAAAGACAGTCTCTTTAATAAGTGGTGCTGGGAAAACTGGACAGCTACATGTAAAAGAATGAAATTAGAACACTCCCTAACACCATACACAAAAATAAACTCAAAATGGATTAAAGACCTAAATGTAAAGCCGGACACTATAAAACTCTTAGAGGAAAAACTAGGCAAAACACTCTTTGACATAAATCGCAGCAAGATCTTTTTTGACCCAACTCCTAAAGTAATGAAAATAAAAATAGAAATGAACAAAAGGGAACTAATGAAACTTAAAAGCTTTTGCACTGCAAAGGAAGCCATAAACAAGATGAAAAGACAACCCTCAGAATGGGAAAAAATATTTGCAAACAAAGCAATGGACAAGGGATTAATCTCCAAAATATACAAACAGCTCATGAAGCTCAATATCAAAAAAACAAACAACCCAATCAAAAAATGGGTGGAAGACCTAAATGGACATTTCTCCAAAGAAGATATACAGATGGCCAACAAACACATGAAAAGATGCTCAACATCACTAATTATCAGAGAAATGCAAATCAAAACTACAATGAGGCATCACCTCACACCAGTCAGAATGGCCATCATCAAAAAATCTACAAAAATAAATGCTGGTGAGGGTGTGGAGAAAAGGGAACCCTCTTATACTGCTGGTGGGAATGTAAACTGATACAGCCACTATGGAGAACTGTATGGAGGTTCCTTAAAAAACTAAAAATAGAACTACCATATGACCTGGCAATCCCACTCCTGAGCATACACTTGGAGAAAACCATAATTCAAAAAGATACATGTACCACAATGTTCACTGCAGCACTATTTACAATAGCCAGGACATGGAAGCAACCTAAATGTCCATCAACAGAGGAATGTATAAAGAAGATGTCGTAGATATATATAGAATGGAACATTACTCAGCCATAAAATGGAATGAAATAGTGCCATCTGCAGAGACGTGGATGGACCTAGAGACTGTCATACAGAGTGAAGTAAGTCAGAAAGAGAAAAACAAATATCATATAATATTGCTTATATGTGGGATCTAGAAAAATGATACAGATGAACTTATTTACAAAGCAGAAATAGAGACACAGATGTAGAAAACAAATGTATGGACACCAAGGGGGAAGGGGGAGTGGGATGAATTGGGAGATTGGGATTGACACATATACATTACTATGTATAAAATAGATAACTAAGGAGAACCCACTGTATAGCACAGGAAACTCTACTCAACGCTCTGTGGTGACCTAAATGGGAAGGAAATCCAAAAAAGAGGGGATATATGTGTATGTATTGCTGATTCACTTTGCTGTACAGAAAAAACTAACACGACATTGTAAAGCAACTATACTCCAATAAAAGCTAATTTTTAAAAATGAAAAAAATAAAATAAACTCCTAGTTTTGTTGCTTTAGGGTCCATTGTGAGAACTGCCACAATTTGAGAGGTAAAAAGTTTTGTGTATAACAACTAGAATAGCTTGAATCTGTAGAATGGCTAAACTATAAAATATAGAAATTGATCATATTTCCATATATATAAAATAACTAATTAGCCAAGTAGGTTAAGTATATCTTAGTTAATATCTTTTGTGGGTATATTTAGACAAATTACTGCAGAAGTAAAAGTTATAATTAATTTATCCAGAAACATAAACTGGTATTTTTGAAGTGCTTCAAAAATTTTAAACCATGTCCTCTCTTAAAATAATGTAAACTTTCCTCTGAAGCTGTATAAATACCATACTCTTAGCAAGTCTTTTCCATGGCTAGTAGACAGACAATATTTGGTTCAGTCTCTATCCAAAGCATCACGAATTTTGAACTATAATGTTCAAATACAACAACTGTTTTAGAACTATGTTTGAATTTTATCATAGAGCCCAAGGGTTTGAATGTTTGCTTACCTCGGACTTTAAAATATTTCACATGGTTTGCCACAGCCTCTGTAACATTTTCATCTGGGCAGGTTTTCACACCATTAGGAAACAGAGTAGATCGCTTTCTTCTGAGCAACCACTGTCTCTCAGTTTCTCTGTGGTCCATAGGTTGTTTCTTTTCGATAGACAGAGAAGAGTCTGTGGATTCTGAGTCAGTCAGGAGAAAAGAAACTGTACTCTTGGGTTCTTGGCTCTCTTCTAAAGATAAGTAGGTTTGTGCTACAGAGTGAAAGCATAAACAAAGCTTCTGACGATGAATGAAGACACAGAATGAAAGGTAACAAATGAAGAAAAACTGACATTTGCACCACATTTGGATTTTGAACTCAATGCTCGAATTATAGACATGTGTGCTTAAGGAGGGGAGAAGTAAAGCATTCAATTTTTTCTCCATTTAATTCCTAGTCCTTTATTTCAAGATTGTTAGTTATTGAAATCAAGTATACATCCAATTTCAACACAAGAAATAAGAGGAAGTAAGCTTTGAACCAAGAATTACTAATGAAGAGGAAAACCAGTATTATTGGAGAGATTTTCATACAGTTTAAATGAAGCAATATCAAAGACTAGAGTAATATTTGTTTCAATTTCTTACAGCAGTCATATCAAATAATGTTATTTTTAGAGAAAATATACTTCAGATCTAAAGATAAAAAATAATGTAGATTTTTAAATACCTGTTAATGATGGAAGGTTTCCTTCTATCAGGACAAATATCAGAATACCCAGAGAAATCTTCCCAAAATGAGGAAACATAATCATTTGAGCCAAAACCAAGAAAGAGGCCAAAATCCTTAATTGAGCACCCAAAGGCCTGAAACTTCCAGTAACAAATTTTTACAGAAAAGGTCTAATATTTAAACAGTTCATGTTCAAAAATTGACAACCATTCCAAAATCATTATAAATTGGCTAAATAAAAATGGTGTCCTTTCAAAGTACCTCTCACTTCTTTTCTGAAATAACCAGCATGCTATGAAAGCAGGAGAGATAAGCTAATTAGGACAGATGGGGAGAGACAATTTCTTTAATCTAGCCAGCTAAGCTCTTTATTAACACTCTCCTTGCCTTTAATAAGCACTCTACTTAAAAATGTTTCCAATAATAATAATAATGTTACACATATAATTCACTGAATTTTACAACTTTCCTCAATCTATTAGTCAAACCTGATAGATTCACATGTTCTCTGGGTTCTTCTACAACCTATGATTTTTAAGCATAAAACGCCCAGACTGACTATACCTGTCTATGTCCGAAATACAGAGCTACATACAAAATAAAGTTAGTTTTCTTGGTGCCGTTTCTTGTAAATTTCCCTCGATTAAAAAATTTGAAAATCTTTCACTGTAACCACTTACTTCTCCTTCCTTATCTATAAAATAGGATAGGAATAGTAAAGCTAACTCATGATAGAGATATTGTAAGCATTAAATTAGTTAACACACAGAAAATGCTTAGAAAAGTACCTGGCACCTACTAAGCACACAATATAAATGGTAGCTACATAATAATAGCTTTGTTGCTTAATTTGCTTTTACACATGAGGCCCAGTGTCTTTATCTACATGAGTAATTCTTAACCAAGAAAGGAAACTTTTTTTTATCTTTACCACAATGGGGGACCAGATAAAAATTTTGTATTAGGGCAGTTGTTTTTATCAAATAAATCTAGTAGAAAGGAATTAAATTAGTCAAAAACCCTGTGGAAGCTAGGATTTACTATCAAATAGCAATGAATTTGTATCTTATGTACCTCTGGTGAAGTTCTCTGGAAAAAAAAAAATGTTTTGTAAAGATCTAAAGCACATTTCTCTTCAGAATCCTAAACTAGCCCTGATCCTGATTTCTCCAGTTCCCAAAAGGGACGAACTCAGTTGTAAGAGAACAGACCACCTGGGTGGGTGCAAACCACACCAGTGTAAGAAAGCCTCATACACATAGAACCAAGTCTTTTAACAGCCCCTGGGCAAAGTTTGCAAATTTCCATAAGGACAAGGTTAGTTACAAGAGACTCTACAGAGGGAAGAAGGGGCCCAGGTTTTCCAAAAAAGTTTTAAAAACTTCTGGTCAAGGAGGGCTTTGGCGTATGCATGTCTACTCACAGTTCTCCCAGTCCAGAGTTCAACAATTAGAGGTCATTTTCACAATGAAATATATATATATATCTATTCTATATATATATAGAGAGAGAATACAAATGACATTTCACATTCATTTTAGCTTAGTACTTTTCCAAAGAAATAGTATTGAAAGAAAGAAAACACAAGATAATTTCCTATTAAGAAAGGGCTTAAGCTTGGTGTTAAGCTAAAAGTAATTAAAGCATAAATTAATAACTATATGACTAAAAAGTAGGTGACAGTGGAAAGATGAGGATAGAATGTAGACTGGAATCAAATTAGAAAGGGCTCTGTATGATAAGTCTAGACCTATTTTCCCCCTAACACACACACACACAAAAGTTGATTTTAAGAGATATTAAACTTTTTCTTAAAAAAAAGAGCTACCATTTTTTTATCCCAAGAGTTGTGAGAAACAGTATTATCTTCTCTAAAAAGGCTTTCCCTGTCTAGTGACAACCCGCTTACTACCTCTCTACCACCTCTCACTATCTTCTCTCTCTCTCTCTCTCTCTCTCTCTCTCTCACACACACACACACACACACACACACACACACACAAACCCGAAGGCTGAACACCCTCCTGTGCTCCCAAAAAACTCTATGATTGTTTCTAACAGGCATATTAAAACTGTTCATATGTCCATTTCTCCCATTAGACTATAAATGACTTAGGAATAAGAGCTGTCATTCCGTTTTTTCTACCTTGTACATTGCCTCCTAGTAGTAGATGCTCAAAAAATGTTCCCTGAACTATCAAAATTACCACATGTCTGCTAAAACAGAAAAATTAATCTAAGCATCAATTATATGACATGCACTGAGTAACATACAATTTAAAATCTATTTCTAAGAATGGCTCACATTTCTTAAGGAAAAAAATTACACCTCAATTTAATGAATTGGAAACATGTTTAATATAAAGTTGATATTCTCAAAGCATTATTTCCATATGAATTTAGGAAAATGAATTTTAAACAATCTTCAAAACATGGTAAAGAACAGAGGTGTCTTTGAAAAACATACAAACAAAAAAGTTAAGAAGTCACAAGGAGATGTATTAGATACTTGCTTTCCCAAAATTAGATATACAAAATAATTAAGTCATCTAAAAAATCCCCTCCCCCCACACAGAAATTGGGAATGAAGCATGTAATTATAACCATCTTTATAGGAAATCTCCAAAGGACAAATATCTTTAACAATATAAAGATGATGACAAGATTAACAGAAACTTAAGGACACTAAGGCTTAACTGACAACCTCAATTCACAAGATTTTGAAATAAAATGTTCCGACTTTTAGCTTCATCTTAAATAGCCTTTGCTTCACTGCTTTATATACAGTAACAGTGTAAATCTAAGAGATGCTTAAAACAGAAGATTAAAAAACATTTTTCTTGTCTGAGAAAATACAATATAATCATCCCCTCAAAATATTCATGATAACATTAGAAAGTTATGAAGTGTTTGTTTAATCATATGTAATACCACCATCATCACATCAATTCAGAACTGTTACCTGAACGTTTAACAAAAACTTATGCTCCATGGGGATCACATGTCCTTATAAAAATACAAAAGCAATGAGAGCAATCTGGCTTTTGCAGATGAATACTGGGTAAACAGCTATAAAATTATGTATTTAGTCCTAACGATTAATATAGAAGACTTTGAGGATTTTTTTTAATTAAAGTTATGAAGTCACCAATTTTATCTTCTATACTTACAGAAACTGTGTACATATATTCTGGGATGTCAGAATAGGACAGAAGTCAATATTTATATAGCTATACCTCAAATAAACTAAGTTGAGCTACATATACAATTTTTAAAAACCTATTTTTGATAGCTAAATTTTTCTTCCAAATTTCACTCTGAATGAATGAACTAAATTCTCAGATCCCCACACATGACATCAAAAGAAATGGAAAACAAACAACAATTAGAATAGAGTAATGGTTCCACTTAGCAACTGAGAAAAATAAGCTGCGCATTGAATGAGTGAGTTTTTATCACCTTCCTAACATTATGTCTTCTCTCACACTATACAGAATGGATGCCGTAAATGGCATTTTCTGAAGCCTTGATACTAAATTCTTTAAAAAAAAAATACACAGTATTCATATTGCATGCTTGAGCTGCAAAGAATAGAATTACAATATAATGTGACTTGTCAACGAAATTTGACAAGCACTGGGGCTGGCACCAGGGAGGACCTAACTCCCTTCAACTCCCAGTTATGTGGAAGTACAGATCACATAGTTTTATTATCTATAAAAACATTTCCACATTACATATGCTATTGCATAATCCAAGCATATTTAATCAGAAAAATATCAAATATTTATGAAATTTTAATTTCTATCTAATGACTTTATCTATATCACCCCCATTTCCACTCCATCTATGAGATCCTAAAAATTCTAATATTATATCTTATATATTTTAAATAATGTACAGTGACTTATAAAACTACTGCAAGTTATTTTCTTCTCTGTGAGCTGGCTAACACAAATGCTGATAAGCAGCTTTCCAGTAATCGTATAGAACATCTGTGTCATGTTTGTACAGATTAACTAGCTTCTGCTGCCCTTCTGTTGCTGTAAATGAAGTTTCAAAATGAGCTCTCGAATATCTTCCCGTTTGGTCTTTATTACATGACGAGGAAACCATTTCTCCAAATGAATTGGAAGCTCAAAGTTAACAATAGGATCCTAATGAGAGAAAAGACAGAGTGCAGTCACTTTAGCAGTATAATTCAAATTTGTTTTAAGCTCATTTTTATAAGAAATGAGAAATTGCTAACTTTTTTAAATAACAGCTTTACTGAGATATATTTCACATAACATACAATTTGCCTAAAGTATTCAACTGAATGATTTTCTGTATATTCAGAGTTGTGCAACCATCACCACAATCAATTTTAGAACATTTTCATTAAACTGCTAACTACTGAACATCAAAATTAAACACCATATGTTATGCTACAATGCATGTTTAAGTGAATTAGTGCAAAGAGAATTAGTAAACAGAGAATGATTCAGTACAATGCAGAACTCAGGCTGGTTTGAACACAATTTTTTCCAACATGTTAATATTTTGAAACTATTGAAACGAAGAGGAAGCCTTAGCAGTATATGAAGAATCTCACATAAAAAATAGAAAATCCTGCAGAAGTACCTTCTTTTAGTCCACGAAATAGCCAATTTAGTGGCTTAAGGAACTGATATATTTTCCATTATGTTAAGCTTAATAACGAAGTTGCAAGTTGCAACTGCAAAGACAATTCTGCCTGTGTTTAAAAAAATAAATGAGTAACTGCTGAATAAGACTACCCCTAGATCATGTTTACAAATTTGATGAAACTATCAGAAGCCAGATGTAAGAAGGACTTACATCTTAAAGAAGAAATTAAGAGTCCCAGAGTACAAAGCTGAAATGAAGGACTGACTGTGATTCTAGGGGCAAATCTCAGTGGAGATTTAACTGTGCAAGTGTTTTTATTAGAATTAAAATTGTATTTCTTATGGCCTAGTTACAAAGTTCCACAGGTTTTGAGTGGTCAACCTGAAACCTATTTTCTTCAATCCACACTCTGTTATATTAGTGCACAAATTTGTGAAACACAAGACTTAGTGTTCTGAGGTTTTCCCCCCAGCAATCTTAAGTGGTGCTACCACCTATATTAGAAGTATGTTCTACTGACTGAGGCTACATAAAGTAGAATTATATAACAGACTCAGACTATGTCATGTAATAAGGCACTTTGGATATCTAAAAACAAAATCACATCTCTTTGGAAAGAGTATTAGAAGGCCAGAACTGTCACCCTATAATGAAGTTCCAGTCTAGAATAAAAAAGGAAAAAAAAACAGCATAACATGTTTAGTGGTTTCCATAATGTGTACCATGTTCTACTGTATATTATCAATCCTCCCCAATTATACCAAAAGTTATAACTGCATACTGTAACCCTCATGCTTTGAAAGTACCTTTAAGGATTCTCCAAACAAGCTTCTGGTCAAAAATACCTTTTGCTATACCCATCTTCATAAATAATACTCGTTATGACTGAAGTAATGAGCTAACAGTTCAAAAAGCAGAATGATCCCTTGCTATTTAAAATTTCTTTTTAACGTTGCTACAGTTCCTATAGAGTCTCTGATGAGCTAGAAAATAATACCCATACTTCTCATTGTACTTATGTATTTTATGGTTTTCTGAGCTTCTTCAATACACAAGTCTTTTAGTTTTGAAAATTTTTCTTCAAATTTGTGTCTGCCTTATTTTCTCTCTCCACCCCTAATCCTTCTGCAACTCCAATTACATGTAAATTAGACTTTTTGACGGTATCACACTTGTCTCTTATGCTCTGTTCTCTTCTTTACATTCTTTTTCCTCTCTGAGCTACAGTGAGATACTTTCTATTGTCCTTTTTTAAAGTTCCCTTATCTGTCTTCTGCTTTATTCAGTCTGCTATCAAATCCATACAGTAAGTTCTTAATTTCAGATATATCATTATGCATTTTCAGTTTGAGAATGTCCACTTGACTTTTTTTTTTAGCAGATTCCATTTTCATCCATTTTGTTTATCTTTGACTATTTTCTCCAACATATTTATCAAATCATTTTAAAGTTTTTATCTTCTAACTCCAATATCTGGGTTATATATGGTTCTATGCCTTTTTTTTTCTTATTTCTTGATTACCTCTAACATTTTCCTGCTTCTTTGCTTGCCCAGTAATTTGTGATTATATGCTGGTAACTGTGAATAAAAAACGTATTTATGTCTTTACATACCTTAAAGAAGCTTTCCACATATTGCAGTAAATATACTCCACAATCACTGCTATTATCTTGTTTAGGAACTTTAGGACATAGGTCCACCATGTTTGTTTTGCTGAATTCACGATGAGTTTTTCGTTTAACTTCCCACTCTACCTCTAAATACCTTAAATCATCAAAAAGTAGAGTGACTCGAGTAGAAATTTCTTTACTATTATGCAACAATTTCACAAAAATGGAAAAACATTTGCTGCCAAATATATTGCCTCCAGCCACATTTCAAAAGACTTAAACCTTAAGAGCACAAATTATAATATGAGGCTTCAAAAGTGCTACTTTAAATAAAATCATCTGAGTTTCAAACTAAAAGCCAGACTTTTTTCAACAACTCAACTTTCACAAATCATATACATAAGTCACTTATATTACAAAGTAAACTAAACAAATTATTTTTAAACTTTAGTTGCTAGTTTTTTCCAGATCTTGTAGGAAATTTAAAAATTACAAACACACATGCAAACACAAAATAAGAATGTGAAAGAGTTCTTATTTTTTTCTAAAGTGTTAACTTTTGACAACCACTAATATTTGCAATGCTCCTTTGTAAAATTATGTCTTTTGTTCAACTGTGAATACAAATTCCAAATTTACTTTTGATATAATCCTTGAGAAATATTTTACACATAATGGGGATATTTGTTATTAATTAGATTTACAGGCCTCATCTAAATAAATAATAAAATATAATTCCTGATATAATCTTTTCAGTAATTCTTAAGGCAACTTAAAAATTATTGAGATTTTAGTAAAATTGTCATTACTTACTCTCGTAAATTCTGGACTGTGTTTTGTACAGAAGCAGCTTTCAAGGAGTCTAGTATGAGAATGCATGGCCTATGAAAATCACAGGAAGAAATCAAGATGTATATATTCGTATATGAAGTAAACCTATGTATCTGAAAAGACTCTATTATTATAGCATGTACATACCTTTTACACATTTTCTTTGGTACTGACATA